TTTTTACTAATAGTTATCAGTAATTAATTCAAAATTATTTATTGGTATTAGTAACTTTTTAATTGATGGTTTTCATAACCAACGCCTGACAATATTTAATACAATGATATTTCTTCTGGGCTTCCAGCGTTTTTCTAAAAAATTGAATTAATTTTTTTCCAAAATACATATATTTTTGTAAGTGCGTAGTCTACTAAGTAATTTAAAACTAATTTTATATTAAAATGCTTCAAACTAAAACACTTTTCACAAAGCTCCGTATGAGTTAGGGATAATGTATTAACTGAAAAAAATAAACAAACCATATTTGTTGCGCCTACTAGCACTTGATTTAAGATTTATTTGAAAGACAGAACGGTAAGCTATTAAAAAAACCTAAACACAGAGTGTGACAATGAGTGACATTTTTTAAAACCTTAATAATGTCCATACATACATTAAAAGTATGCAGCGGTTACTTTATTAAGGTAGTGACAGTACAATAATAATAAAAACTAACCATTATTCGTTCCAGCCATAACGTATGACTGTATTTAATACAATTATAGTCAAAAAGTAAGAATAAATTAATAATAAACATTGTAAGAGAAGCAATACCTTTACGCGCAATTTATCAACACAAAGCAAGTAATTATAATTCCTAAACTTTGACTGGTTACCTGATAAAAATTCAACAGATTTGAAGGTGATTTAAAGATGTTTCATTATCTACAGATATTAAAGAATACAAAATTCCCTAAATTTGGTCGAAATAAAACACTTACTTATTTTGAATTTCTTCGCGCTGGAAGCGCGCTCTAGCCTACTGTGCATCGGTTGAAAAAAGGTAAAATAACTAAAATCCCATCCCTACTAATAAGTATAGTAAATTTTAAAATATTATGTTGCCATTTTAAATAAAAAATATTTTAAAATCGAATATTTTTATACAGTGTGTCGCACTTAAGATGAAGACACCCCCATATTTTCGCTATTTGAAGGAATAAAGGTTTGAATTTTTTCACATTCATACATGTTGATGGGTCACATTTTTTAAGCTACTCAACTGAAATCTGAACTTTAAACTTGGCCTACTACAAATTCACAAACAGGGCCAGTTCTCGATATTTTGCTTCGCGTTAGAGATATCGAAAAAAGTTATTGGAAAAAGTTGTTCAGAATATTATTCTAACCCCATATACCAATTTTTATAACAAAATTCGCATTTTTAATTTTATTTAATTTTGGTCCACACAAAATTATTACAAGTTCATTTTTTAGTTTGATAATAAGGGAGCCATGGAAAGTAATAATTTGATACTAACTAGTGTTTATGACCGTTAAATAAATAATTAAAACAATTTTTCGAAATTACAAATCAATTATAACTTATTAAATTAAGGAAATGGTATAAAACAATAATAAAACTAATAAAAATAAATAAATTATAAATGCGAATTTTGCTATGAAAATCGGTAAACAGGGTTAGAATAATATTCTGAATAACTTTTTCTAATAATTTTTTTCGATATTTCTAACGCGAAGCAAAATATCGACAACTGGCCCCGTTTGTGAATTCGTAGTAGGCCAAGTTTAAAGTTCAGATTTCAGTTGAGTATCTTAAAAAATGTGACCCACCAACATGTATGAATGTGAAAAAATTCAAATCTCTATTCCTTGAAATAGCGAAAATATGGGGGTGTCTTCATCTTAAATGCGACACACTGTATGTTAACAATTAAAAATTGTAACATATTTATTGTACTTTTTAATATACAAAAATGTTATGAGAAAGAATTGAACCAACACCTCGCCAAAGTTTTTTGTTTTGAATGCGTTCCATCAACTGAAAATACCGACAGACAGGTGTTTTAACCTATATTGGGTATCATCAGTGTCGACACGACACTGTTGAGCAACTTGTAATAGTGGAACACATCCAAAACAAAGAAATACCTGAGCTTATATAACATGGTTGGTAAGCCAACAGAGGCGAGATGTAAGAACATCACGTGATCCACACCGTCTAACGACGCGTCGCGACGTGGCCTTTACCGCAATCGGTACATACTATGCAACCAAGTAGGTTCAATTCTTTCTTATAAGTATTACCAGTAATGGGTTAAGAAAGTTTATTGAAGAAACTAAGAAAATGTCATGAATTACTTTATTGTATATTATATTAAAATATATTTTTTATTAACGTGTAATATATTATAATATTAGATGTACACCTTAGATTTGATTAAATCATATAGTAAATATTACTATTTGTAGATAGTAAAATCAATTTACTATACAAACATATTAAAAATTAAAATATAAATTATACATTTATGATTTAGTAATATTGGTGTTGTAATCTTTACTAAAATTGTATACTAAAAAATAGTATTTTGTATTATAATCTTAATATTGTATTGAAGAATATATAATATTGTTAGCCTAAAAATTTGTTCAAGTAAATTTTACTTTATTTTTTTTACTATCTTAAATTTACTATACATTTCTCTCCGTGTACGTTTATTCGAGTAAATAAGTTAAAATTTTCTGTACTGTATGCCTGGTACTTGAGTTTCCAGTGAGCTACACGGAGAAAAAATACAACATCTGTCGCTGTCGTATCAGTAGTCATCTCTGTTCCAAAAGCATTTTTAAATAATCTAACTAAAAATAGAAGAAATAGGCAATCCGTTCGATCTAGTTTGTCACGTGACGTTTTAATATACTCTCCCCCCTTGGGCGTAACAAATCGTGATAGTCCTTCAAAGCCCCCTTCCACTCCAGCGTCAGGAGATTTATGGATTGTCTCTAATCCCGACTGCTGCAGACACAGCTAGCCGTAATGCATTTTAGAAAATGTCGAATAAAAAATACATCCGCAGATGATTTTTTCATATTTTTAAATAAAAATTTCTAACCAACATGATCATACAAAATTTAAGACAGAGTACTGCAGAATAATACACTATTTCCATAGGTTAATGTAAAGTTATTTTTTAGGTTGCACTATTAATATACCTCGCTCTGAAAATGAGGCGCCATCCCCCAGTAAAGGCCAAATTTAGATTAAGCCCAAGGCCCAAATATACAAATCTGGGTCTTAATAGTCACTATAATAAACGTAAGGACTTAACTATGGACTCTGATGGTTAAAGTTACCACCGGATAAACTGTTTTTAATTTTGCCCAAGTTTTTGGATTTTGCGACGTCTTGTATTCTACGCTGTTAAGAACCGTAAATAAAATGGTTCCAATTATCTGACATATATTTTTTATTAGCTAACCAACTTTTCAGGAATTTGCTAGAAAAACATTTGGCACCAAGAAATTTGCGGATTTTTATTGGAATTTTACTCAACTTTCTTTATTCTGATTTTATTTTTTGTCTTTAACCTGCATAATAATTGTTGAATTATGAACATTATCAATACCTTAATAAAAAAATTCTTTTAAATAATAAAAATATTATTTATTTCAGAAAATTTGTACTCAAAGTAAATGATTTCCTACATCTAAAAAATTATAAGACAAAGTCTTATCAAAATAAATATTTAGTATTCTTAATTTGCTAGAAAAACATTTCGAACCAAAAAATTTGCGGATTTTTTATTTCCGAAAACTGTGACAAAATTTTAGAAGATTGAGCCATAAGACATTTTCTCTACTCCCACCTTTAAAACTGCCTTTATCGTACATGTTTCCATGACACTAAGTGATCTTTTAAATACACATTGACAAGTTGTGGCTTTATGGCGCTTTAGTCACGGGCTAAAGTTAGCAACAGGTTTTTAGTCACGGGCTGAAGTTAGTTTTAAGTTAGTTGACAGTTGTCAAATGTCATACAATCGTTAAAATAAAGTGCCTTTCTTGTAAAATAATACTATATGTGAAAATTATTTTATTATCTCAATACAAAAGTATTAAATAGTTTCTCAACGCCAATTTTTGAAAAGTTTATATGAACATTGTACTGACCTTTTAATTTCGCCGGCAGTAAACTATAACCTAAATTCGAGCACGGACTCCACTGTAAAGTGCTCATAAAACATTTTCTTTACTTTCACTGTGAAAACCTGTCAATTTTCAAGAAATTCATTTTGATTTATAACCTTTATAAACTGTGTTTATAAAATTATAAAAATGTGACATTTGACGGTGACTCACAGATTCCCCTTTTCTTTCATAGATAGCGCTCTATAAAAAATTTTGATTTAAATCATTTTAAGATAATAATAAGTATTTGTCGTAGAAAAAGTATAGTATGCACCTTGTTTATAAACTTTTCTATACACTCATTAATTTAAGCACTCGCTCGCAAGCTCGCTCTTGTCTAAATTAAATTCGTGTATAAAACGGCGTTTATAAAACTTGATAGATAATATACTATTATCTCAAAAAGGTTTGAAGGTTTGTCTGAAAAATATATAGCATACTAATACAAAAAGAAACCAAAATCAATAAAACATCATAAAAAAATAATAAAGATGCAGTACAGAGACAATAATAAATAAACATCTAAATAAATTCATAGAGAAAAATAGGCTATAATAATAATTAATTAATAATTAATAATTAATTGGTTATACTTTTGTCATTATCGTTATTATTTTAAATAAATTAGTTTTTAGTTAATACTAAAGAAAAACTAACATTCAACTCTTATTTTATAAAATCAAAGTTATGGTAAAATCTGTAAGAGGAATATGTTTTTTAATTTTATTAATTCATATGCAATAAATAGTTACTTTAAAACGTAAGCAAAACGCTCCCTATTTCTTAAAAGACATCAAATATCGGCCATAAAATAAAACCTTTAGAAAACAAGATTTTCTTTATGTGTTCCTATAAATTCTACCTAACGTCCTCCCAATTTGAGACACAACTAAGTATAATTTACGGGACACCTTCTTTAAGCTAAAAACAAGAAAATTATGAAACTGAGACACGTACTAACGATCAAGAAGCACAACAAAACATTTTTAACACACAGTGCTGTTAGAAGGGATTTTAGTTCTTACCAACAACTTGTAGGTAACCCTGCCTGCTCCGCATCGGGTCGGTGTTGACTTGGCACATATACCAGCCCCTGTCTGCTTCCTGAACGTTTTTAATGTGCAAATACCACGAACGGTGGTCGTTGTAGCTCAACGATATTCGCGGGTTTTGCGTTATGACATTGTGGTGGATCGAGAGAATCGTTTGCGTGTCAACTCGTACCCATGCAACCTGAAAAAGAAAACGAATATAACGTTAAATTGCTTGAAATATATTTTTATTTTAAAGTTAGTTTTAATGTTTTTTAAACTCGTATACCAAACTATTACACTAAAACGATATTTACATTAATAGTTATTTGTATACCTCTTTAGAGTACCGAGGGAATAATCTCGAGGCCTTGGTATTGACATTTAAATCCTGTGTTTGTTATATGATGATGATGGGTTGGTGTAAACGATAATGAAATTAAGGCAAGTTTGAATAAATAGGGTTTATTAAAGTCTTTTTATATTTTAAAGCACATTTTAATTTTAAATGTCAAACTGACAATCTGTTAAATATAACAACTGGTATGATTATCATCGATGATATTTTCGAATTGAAACCGAGCTGCAGATTTCACGAGTACGCAGGACGAGTGAAATGTGTTGCTTCGGTTTAAATTCGAAAATATCATCAATAATTGAGGAGCATCCGTGCAAAACCGGCTATATCCACTTTAATAAAATGTTGGGAAAATGGCAAAAACTCTCGGTTTCCTGGCCTTTACAGATAAAAGAAAAAGCAAACTTGAGTTTTGTGGGCTTTGTGATACTTGATTTATAAGACATACTTTCGTTTTCAAAAACTTTATATTAAGGCCAAAATTTTAAAAAATGTTTTGTATATAGCCGGTTTTGCTCAAAAATCGAATAAAATGTGAAAAAAAAAACCTTTATTATTCAAAATAAATTTAGTGCAAACATGAAAAAATAAAACAAATTTTAGTAGTAGTATCGACATATCAAAGTCACGTGTTCATCATCATTATTATTTATTGGATATAGCCGGGTTTGCTATAAAAACGTGGATTTGGCCGGTTTTGCTCCTAAAGCTACCTTTTAAATGTGATTTTAACATGGATATAGTCGTATTTAAACAGAATTATCTTGGTTGTCAATAGAAATGAACCCAAAGATGCGAAATAAAAAAAAAACAAAAACTGAATAAAATGGATTTAGCCGGTTTTGCACGGATGCTCCTCAATTAATCATACCACGAGTTATATATAGTGAGAAAATATAATGAATTTTAGCATTTAACGAATTGTCAGTTTGTCATTTGAAATTAATTTAATATTCAAACTTACCTTAATTTTATTATCGTTTACACCAACTCATCGATCTTTTAGAGTTTATAATTCATTATTTTAATCATTTAACAAACATAGTATTTAAATGTCAACAAATGTCAAATCAAAAAAAATGTCAAAATCCTTAGAAACGTGTAAAAAAGGTGATAAAAAATATTGTCGCTGTGATAAAATGCGTAACCATGGTTTATTGGTTCTAATTATAATGTATTGTCACCCATAATATAACAAGTGGTATGATTATCATCGATGATATTTTTGAATTGAAACCGAGCTGCAGATTTCAGTCCGCAAATGTGCTGCTTCAATGAGTAAATATCATCGATTATTAATCATACCACGAGTTATATTTAAGAACTTTTTATTATTTAAAAACCTTTGATTAAGTTTAGCCGACCCCATATCATTATTTGCACAAGAAATGCAGAAGTAATAAAAGGTCAATCATTAATATTTTAAATCCCATGCGGTCGGCTAAACGTTTTAGAGTAATTAGAAGTACTTAAAGAATAATTTTTTCACTAGAGTAAATTAATTTTTGAGACATAAAATTAATCTTCTATAGTGACCTTTAAGTCCAAATGTGGTCGGTCAAAATATGACTTAGGTCGTCCAATTTTTAACAGTCTCAATATAATAGCCATCCACAGCTTTCTATAACTAGTCCGGCCTATTGCTGGTTCGTGACCTTACCCATTTAACATGTGTTAAAAACAGTATTTAACACATTATTAGCTTATTTTTTTATCACATAAATAATATTACCGAACAAAAAATAACTTTTTAGTATGGAGTATATAATAAAATAAAGAAAACATTAAAAATTAGGACCAAAATAGTTTTTATTATTTTGACTTTAGCTAATATTATAAAATCTTTACGAGACATATATATCCCTCTAAATATTTTAAATATTTTATGAGATTTTGATTCGATGAATGCTACAGTTGCCGTGTCAAACCGTCTACGCTTTTCGTCGCGACACGAATAATGTTTTATATAGGCTGAAGTATTCAAGAAAATTTAATAGACAATTCGGTGGATTATTTATATACGCCCCTAGGGAAAATAATACTTATGCAAATTGCTAATAAAGTTCTTTGATCTTTTTCCTCGTTTAAACACGCAAATTGTATATTTTTTCTTCGCAATTTTTGTTTTCTTAAGCAAATGGAATCTATTTTATTATTTAAATTCAGCCATGTAAATTTGGAACATGAAGAAAACTTGAGTAGTACTTTTATATTTATATCTCTTTTACTTCGGCAACAATACAGTTACAGTTAATATATGTTTTTAACTCTGGACCGGGCATTTATTTGTATATATATTTTATATTATATATTATCTACAAGCGTGCGGAAAGATGCACTTTTCCACATGCTCGACAATACAGATAGTAAATGCGTGCGAAAAGTAAAAACTTTCCGCAAGCTTGTTGACAAAATATTGTACCTAACACCCGCGGTAAGTTTCTTTTTCGCCCTGGACTGCTGACTAAATTCCGCGTTGTTTCTTCAAGAGCAGTAGCGTGCGGAAAAGTAGAACTTTCTACACTAGTTATATAATAACTATTTTAAGTCTAGTATCCCGGCGCATTCGCCATAATTGCACGAGTTGGGTAAATAAATATTTTAAGTGTAGTATCCCGGTGCATTCGCCATAATTGCAAAACAAGTTTTTTCTACTACCTTACTAGAAAACTTAATTTTCCACCCCCGAGCGAGGGAGTAAAATGCCACTTTTCCTTCCCGGGAAGAAAAAAGTTTTTGTACCTTACCTAGCTCTATTTGATTTTGTAGGAAAAAGATTTACTCCGCGCTTGTCCATTGGACAATGTCCAACCATTCTTTTAACAAACTATAGGTATTTATTTTCATATCGCTCTTGAGTCAATCCAAATGAAAACACCAAAAATGAATTTAAAAGTGCGCTGCATAATTTTTTATTGTAATGAAAAAATTTGAGGATGATCTTTTAGGTGTCAAATATGAAAATCCGTTGCCGTTTTAATTTTTTGTTGCTTTACTTTTATTTGGCACCCCTTAGAAGTCTGAAAAAGTGTCAATTTCTTACTCTCTTATAGTGGGCCAAAACTTTTTTTCTGTGACAAATATTGAAATAATTTTAATTTTGTTTTACTGTCCAGTAAGTGTGTTTTCGATATAAATTATTATTATCCAATTAGTTAATCTCATAAAAGAATGGTAAACCACTAAAGATTCATGATAATTTGCCAATTTTTGTGATTTTTGTCTGGCTCCTGTGCCTATTCTACTGAATTTAGAAGGTTAATTTTTTTCAGGTATAAAGTACTTATACAATAGAAAACGTAACTAATATTTTAAGTTTCTAGACTATCAATTTCTTTATTAAAAAAATTATTGAAAATTGATAATTCTCAAAATTAGCCAATTTTGCCCTCAGAAATCATTATGTTGAGGAAAAAATAAAAATCTGAAACTTTCAGGAAATGTAGTACCCACCTTCATCTTTTCAGTCCAGTTAGTCTTGTTTTGTTATTTTTATCCATGTAAAAGATATAATAATTTTTTTAATGCCAGTTAAGAAGCGATATTGTTAGTTTTATTTATAATTTAAAATTTAGATGGCTTTGACTTTGTCAATTCATGTTTGATGGAGAAATGTCAGAATGCGAAAAATATTTCATAAATATTATTTGTGCGTATTTCTTTGGTAAATTTTGTATATAACATAATATGTCATATTATGTTATATACAAAACTTTTTAAAGTCACCAAAGGAATACCACAAATAATAATTATGAAATATTTTTGATAGTTCACCCATTCCACGCTACTCGGGAATTTTTGTAGCGTCCGTTACAATCAAAAATTGTTAGTAAAACTACCGTAATTATGATGCTTATAAGTTTAAGCCTAATTATTACAAGCATAATAAACATGTTTGCAATATTAACTATTGTAAAGGTATTTCATTTAATCACAATTTTTTATTGTAACGGACGCTACAAAAATTTCCGAGTAGCTTGGAATGGCTGAACTATCAAAAATATTTCATAATTATTATTTGTGGTATTCCTTTGGTGACTTTAAAAAGTTTTGTATATAACATATGAAATATTATGTTATATACAAAATTTACCAAAGAAATACGCACAAATAATATTTATGAAATATTTTTCGCAGTTCTGACATTTCTCCACCAAACATGAATTGAGAAAGTCAAAGCCATCTAAATTTTAGATTATAAATAAAACTAACAATATCGCTTCTTAACTGGCATTAAAAAAATTATTATATCTTTTACATGGATAAAAATAACAAAACAAGACTAACTGGACTGAAAAGATGAAGGTGGGGACTACATTTCCTGAAAGTTTCAGATTTTTATTTTTTCCTCAACATAATGATTTCTGAGGGCAAAATTGGCTAATTTTGAGAATTATCAATTTTCAATAATTTTTTTAATAAAGAAATTGATAGTCTAGAAACTTAAAATAATAGTTACGTTTTCTATTGTATAAGTACTTTATACCTAAAAAAAATTAACCTTCTAAATTCAGTAGAATAGGCACAGGAGCCAGACAAAAATCACAAAAATTGGCAAATTATCATGAATCTTTAGTGGTTTACCATTCTTTTATGAGATTAACTAATTGGATAATAATAATTTATATCGAAAACACACTTACTGGACAGTAAAACAAAATTAAAATTATTTCAATATTTGTCACAGAAAAAAAGTTCTGGCCCACTATAAGAGAGTAAGAAATTGACACTATTTCAGACTTCTAAGGGGTGCCAAATAAAAGTAAAGCAACAAAAAATTAAAACGGCAACGGATTTTCATATTTGACACCTAAAAGATCATCCTCAAATTTTTTCATCAAAAT